CCACCAGCCTTGGGTTACCACCTAGTTCACTTCATCTCTGAACATTCCTGCACTGGGGAACCATGCTTTCAAAACATGAGCTTTTCAATGAACATTTCTAGATCCAAACCATAACACATGGTTGTCACATTTTTGTTGATGTCTGCTCTTTAAACCCAAAGAGGTTGGTGATATAGTTCAATGAAAGAGTAGTTCACTTGGCCAGCACAAGGCCCTAAAGTTCCACCCCAGTACTAGAAAGAAAAAAAAGGGGGGGGGGGCTGAATGCCGGAATGCTGTGATGTGCCTTACAGAGAAAATATATGGGTTATATAAGCTTCATGTAGACATGAGTTGTAGTGTTGCTGGCTACAGGCTCACTATTAATGAAACAAAAATATAAGCTAAATAAGGGGTCTTTAAACAGAAACTCATGTAAATCAGGTTATCTATTGATCAGTTTATAAAAATACTGTGACCAGAGCCATGAAGGAACCTAACACTGTATGTCCTCTGGAAGCAACAGTTCCCTGTGCACTAATTTGTGAAACAAAACCATTTCAAATAGTGTCAATAAACTCCTGAGAACCACCCATGACCGAGTGCTGGGATGGCCCTGCTACATAGGAACACTCCCAGCAGCTCTGTCTACTCCCTCTCCCAAAATGCATGACAGCCTTCAAATCCTCTCCTACAGCTGCCCATCCCACTATTTCCACTCCTCACTCCCAGGCAATGATTCACCTTCTGTGTCAAAGATGCCCCTCAAGTGTCTTCCTCCAAATGTACGACTTGCCTGTGCTCAGGAATAGCAAGCTGTTCCCCCTTCTTCTGTTCAAATGCAGGAAGAAACTCCTCCTCAGGGCTGAGACCTGTACTCCCCTGTGTATCTGCATCCCATCTGCTCCCATCCCCTGTGTCAGCTGCTCTCTCAGAACCTTCCAGGACCAGACTCACTAGTGGATTTCTCAAAATTCAAACTATTTATGGTTTCTTTCCATTACAAAAGGAAAAAGAAAAGAGGAAGAAAGAAGGGGAAAAGGAATATGGAAGGAAGGAGGGAAAGTTTTAAAAATCAAGAAGAGACTTGTCTTTTAGTCTTAAACAAATTTTCATACATCCTTTGTGAGAATGTAACAACTGATATACTTATGAATCACCAAGTAGTAACACACATCAAAAATGTAAATACCCAAGCCTGATGTGGTGGCATTTGCCTGCAATCCCAGCAACTGAAGGCTTAGTGGGGAGGATCTCAAGCTCAGAGCCAGTCTGAGAGACTTAGTGAAACCTATCTTAAAACAAAAAAATAGGGCTGGGGATATAGCTTAGTTGGTACAGGCTTGCCTTGCATGCACAAGGCCCTGGGTTCAATCCCCAGCACCACAATAATAATAATAATGGCTAAGAATGTAGCTGCAGTGGTAGA